CTGAGCTGTGGATGAACACACACTCGCAGAACAGCACCAGCGCACACCTGTTCTACCAGCTCAGCAAATGTCTGCAGACGCAGGTGTGTGTGCGAGCTTTACATTTATGTGTGTGTGTCTATATGTGTGTGCGCTCTTCATCTGTGTGTGTTTGGTGTTGTGCGCAGGGGAAGCTCAGTGTTCTGGAGGATCTGTTTGGCCGCTTCATGCGCTCCCTCTGCCAGTCTGTGCCGGAGCAGATCAGGCCTCTGGATGTACTGCGGTAATCTCTCCTCAGACGCTTCAGCATTCACATGTTTAATAGTCTCGGAACGGTTTAAAAGCGCTTGAGGTCAGTCGATGATCATTGATGGGGGAACTCTGCCGCAGCTAACACAAGCTCAGTTTGGTTCTGCTGCGGGACCAGAGCCGCAATCGGAGTTATTTTCTAGTTTAAGAAGATTTAGAGTCACTCGAGGATGTCGAGTCATGAGGATAATAATATTTAATAACTCTGGCATCTTCAGCTTATGTATTAGAGCATGTGTATATGTTTGATGATCTGGAATAGGTGACGTTTGTGGTTTCAGGCACATTCTGGGGATCCCGACCAATCTGAGAGCGCCCATCCTGAAGGAGGATCTGCTGGAGGAGCTCAAAGACCAGCTGCCCTACCTGCATCTGCTGCACTGGTGCGCGCGCGTGTGTGTCTGTCTGTACGTGCATGTGCGGTTTCTGTAAGCCTGTTTCTGCTAACGCTGTGTGTGTGTGTGTGTGTGTGTGTGTGTGTGTGTGTGTGTGTGTGTGTGTGTGTGTGTGTGTGTGTGTGTGTGTGTGTGTGTGTCCTCAGCTTCTGGCAGGTGGTGTACGGCGGTGCTCGAGAGGCTGTGGATGCGTTTGAGAAGGCGTTGGGAGCGGTGACGCAGCTGGAGCTCATTCACACACTCTGGCTGGAGTAAGTGCTGCTCAGCTTAATAAATAAATACAGACCTGATGTACACAAGCTCTGTTTACTTTCACTTTGAGGAGGAAACTCATTTAGAAATGCCTGGTCAGCAGTTTACTGTTAGCGATGTTTAGAGGAGTATATTCTGTAGGGTTAGCTGCTAAATCAAATCACAAGCATGGTTCAGCAAAGCTGTGAGTGTCATGCACATCATACAGT